TATATATAGTAGTAGTATATATATATATATATACATATATATATATATATATATATATATATATATATATATATATATATATATATATATATATATATATACAGCAGGGTGACTCGAGAAGATATAGCATCGCAGTAAAGATTTCTACTCATTACAATCTAGTTCACGCGAAGCACGCGAAGCACGCGAAGCACATGTGAAGATAGTAGATGTTGGCCGTTCAGTAAAAACTGGCACATACAAGTGGTCGTATTCGTTTACACACGAACGCGTATCTCTACGTACATTCATTAGTATACTTTACCTCTGTACAGGTCGATCTGGTGTGTGCCAAAATGGGTGTTGAACGTGAAGAGATGCTTCACGCCATCCACACAGCCGGAGATAACGACGCCTTGAAGATAGCTTACAACCTCGTGCGAGACAGTCAGCGGATGAAGGAGCTGTCCGAAAGCAAACACGATGGCGACGGGGACAGGGGCATGTTCACAGACGCGGAGCGTAAACAGCACGAAAAGCCGTCAGATGGGTATGGACGTGGGAGGGGGTGTGTATAGGTATAGGAGTGATTGTGTGTGTGTATATGTATAGGAGTGATTGTTTATATGTGTGTTTATGTGTTAGGGTGCATCTATCTTTGTTGTGTGCTGCGTGTCTGTGTACCTGTTAAGCTCAGGAACGTCTATAGCGCAGGTTTTGGCAATAAGCACTTGTTCAATGATGTCGATGGCAAATCCCGATATATCTACTTGCGCACATTTAAACCATTCACCCCACCCCCTATATACCTACTTGCCCACAATTAAACCATTCACCCCATTCCCGATACACCTACTTGCCCCACAATTCAACCATTCACTCCACCCCCGATATATCTATTTGCCCACAATTCAACCATTCTCATCCTCGATATACCTACTTGCCCCCAATTAAACCATTCACCCTACCCCCGATATACCTGCTTGCCCACAGCATGGCGCCCCTGGAGGAGCTCCCTACAATGGGAATGTATATTAGCCAGAGCAAGACAGGTGTCTCTGCTCAGCCTGTGAGCCGCTCTACCAAGAAGTCGCGGTGGCATTTGGGTATCCGCTCGCGAAGCCAACCGTACGATGTCATGAGTGAGGTCTACAGGGCTATGAAGAGTGTGGATTTGGTATGGCTGGGCGGGTGTATGGTGTATGTGGTGGGTGGGTGTGTACAGGGAGGTCTACAGGGCTATGAAGAGTGTGGATTTGGTATGGCTGGGTGGGTGTATTGTGTATGTGGTGGGTGTGTGTGTACAGGGAGGTCTACAGAGCTAGGAAGAGTGTGGATTTGTTATGGCTGGGTGGGTGTGAGGTGTGTGTGGTGGGTGTATGGTGTATATGTTGGGTGTAAGGTGTATGTGATGGGTGTAAGGTGTATGTGGTGGGTGTATGGTGTATGGGTGTGTGTGTACAGGGAGGTCTACAGGACTATGAAGAGTGTGGATTTGGTATGGCTGGGTGGATGTAAGGTGTATGTGGTGGGTGTAAGGTGTATGTGGATGGGTGTGTGTTTACAGGGAGATCTACAGGGCTATGAAGAGTGTGGATCATTGTGAGATGCATAGGTGTGTGTATGGGATGATTGATGTTTATATGGATAGATGTTTCAACAAGCCGATGAAGAGAACTATCCTGATGTGGTTCGGAGGCGCGATATATATGTGATACATTCACTTTCGGTCCTGCGCATTCTTGACCTGTATATAATCATGTTTCCTTATGGATGCAGATATATTCTATTTGAGGCATACCTTATATGCGAGGTATAAGCGGTCTGTACGGGTGTGGAGTTGGTAGAACATATTCTGCGGGAGGCTCTGTGGCACATGTATTGTTGAAAGGATCTTGTCCAAAACATTTGTCCGCAGACTGAACACACCGTGATATATATGCGCTCATTGTGATCTAGCCCATAGATATGGAATTTTTTTTTTTGAAATATCTGAATAGCGTAGCGTCGCTCATCCCCTGCGTCTTTATCGTTCCGTCTCGCAGTCGTGGAAGGTCGTGAACTCGTACCATGTCATCACCAGGAAAACCCATCCCGTCACCAAACAAGAAGTATCGAAGTGTGCTACAGTCGGTTTATTTTCTAAAGGTGTTATAGCAACTCTTGTTTTGCTATAGAGTTTGGTTTGTTTATAAATTGTCGTTATAGTATTTGCCTGAAACCAACGTGCACGCTTATTCGGCACATTTTTCAACTATCCTTGAAGCTTCATAGAAAGACATTAGGAAATCCCTGTTGATTTGTTCTTAAATGCCCCAATCCATTCTGGACTATATACGAAATCTCAATTCCTACCCTTTCGTCCCGCACGCTCAATCCACGCAGCTGAAGGTCAGCCTGCAGTTGTACAAGGTGGATGATCGGCATTTCCTGTTGGATTTCAAGAATTTGGGCCAGTCAGCGGGTGAGAAGGAGACATATGAGAACAGTGGGAGTGTAGCAATGGGCTTCTTCGAGCTTTGCGCTATACTGATCAGGGAATTGGCCGTAGGCGGAGGCGGCTCTAAATAGACGCTTAATATTATCGGACCAAAAAGCGCTGCGAAGATGAGCGGAAATGCAAGCGAGGCCATCTCCAATATTATATTGGTGGTTCCTCAGTCATCTTCAAATCGGATTTTAATCTTCGTACTTCACAAAATTCGTGCAGAGCGGGCCATGGATCGGCATGACGAAATGGTCACTGTTGCACTAAATCTTTAAAATATATGTCATGTGACACAGTTGAATTGCACAGATATCGATACACATCAGTCTACATACTTACATTAGGGACGCACAAGATCTGTCGCACCGGCCAGAGAGAGTGAAACACTGCCACTCTTAGTGCTCTTCGCCAGACTCGGTAGTGAGAACCGTCATGGGTCTGCGTGGATACAGTTATATACTCAGTAGAATGAAATAAAAGGTTGATTACACGACGCCAATCCAGCCATTCTTGAAGAATCGTAGACTTAAGAAATTGAAAATAGTATAAAAGCATATTCAGTCAAAAGGTTCGGCTGAAGTGAAAGATTTTTATTGGGCGTAGCGCAATCGGATATTCATTGTGGCGAGCGTAAGAGACGCGCCGTTCACGTTAACTATGTGCCTATCTCACGATCGTTAAGGTAATATCATGCCATCGATTTCACAGCAGTGTATTTTATAACTTCGGAGGGCAGTCGTGGTGACTTGTATACAGTATTTCACTTTAAAAATGGACTTTGCATTACGTTTTGCACACGGGGTTTAGAAATGAAGGCGTCAGGGCCTCTCTCAACATTGAACAATCGTTTGAAAGCTCAGGTAGATCCATTCTATCGTCCTAGCTTCGTGTCATATACTAAATGCAACATTCATTTACTAAATGCAACACCCAATCGTGTAAAAGAAATTGAAATTGCTATCCCGGACTCCTGTGGTAGAATTCGCTAATTCAAAAGCAACTTGACTGATTGGCCCTTCTTGTGAATGAGCGTAATGTCTGCTTTATATTCCAATTGATCAACTTACGGATACAGTGCACGTAAAGTGTAAACACCAACATTTTCTGTGAAGGTTGCAACAGGTGGGTGAAGAGAGGGGGGGAGGGGGGTAAAAAGTAGAAACAGAGAGTTTACTAAAACATTGTATCCAATCACTACTTTACTACCCGTTGACTTATCAAATTACTTCATTTGGAAACTTGCTACTTCACAACGCCGCAACAATAGCAACAATTGGTTGTATTTTAAAATAAGATCACTCAGACTGACATTTGACAGACTCTACATTCGATCAATTTTCTTTTTTTGAGTAATGACTCTATCACTCTTTTGTGTTTGTAACGTATTGATTATAAAAAACAATAGAACATAGTGTCCCAAGTCCCTGGCCCGGCTGGGGCTTGGCCCTTGGGACCTTGCCAAGTGCCAACAGGCAACAGCCCAAATGGTCTATTTAGTATTTACTCTGTGGAGGACTCTAGGATCTTTTTTTGATTTATCTTTCTTCAATTGTATTTGTATTTAAAAAGAAATTAATATTCAGTTTGACTTTGTTGTTTCATTTTAAAACTATTTTTATAGAAACAAATATAGTAACACTTATAAATTTATGTTCTTTTTTCATAAAGAGCAAAAATACATAATTTTGTATGTATTATTATATTTGTTTCTATAAAAATGTTTATAAATAGCTATGAGATATGCAAGAGCTCAAAAAGTTTTGTAAATTGGTAGTAACTTCGGCATATTCAACTATAGATCCGGATAGAATGGATGACGCAGTAGCGACGCAGTGAATAGCTTATCTATTTTAATACATAACATCAATCGTAGACTCATAGCCTTCTGAAAATTGAACACATCAGTATTATGAAAACTTTTAAAAAGCCATTTTTTTGTTGAGACGGTGTTCTATCAGTGAGAAAAGTAGATAAGGGCGTGGCTGTATATATAATAAGGCTTCGAGCGTTGTATTCCATTCATATATGAAATTGGATACAAGTTTAGTATATGAACTAATTCCAGCTTTTTCTCTATGACCGCAATTCAGACACCTGCTAGGAGGGCTGCGAAAATATTACTGGTCGTAGGAGTATACGCAACGTCCAATGATTTGCAACTTAATAAGTACCAGCCAACTTCGCTCGGACGTCGATCGCCATCAGACCGCACAGATGCTACCTAAATAATTGACAGCGATGTGATAGAAGATGATAAATCCGTGTACAGCATTGGAGTGGAGGGTTCTGACAACGAGCTCGTTTTGAACCGCAAAAGGGGGGCTTCAAGTCGACCTAAGTGGAAGGACTTCAATGATTTACCATCCTGGAGTGATTGGAGAGGAAGATACGGTAACGGCAAGTGTGAGGAAGGCGAATGGTCAGTCCTTTTGGAATTCAGCAATTTCGGTGTTTAATAGTTTATTTCTGTTCATGCTGTACTGCTGAGATGATTCATATTGCTAAAATTGATTTATTTTTAAGAGATGTATTGCTATGTATACTGAAACCAACTCGGTATACTAAAGATCGGACTCTTCCGAATTTATGGTGTCGTGAATTATGATGTCGCAAATAAGTGAATTATGATGTCGCAAATAAGTGAATTATGATGTCGCAAATAAGTGAATACTTATCTACCGCCATGAATAGGTTGCACATTGAAAGTCGCTAGTAGTCGATCGGCAACCTCTCCTTTAATCGATTTTCTGGACATACGAATAAATCGAAATAGTAATCGCCAACTAAATCTCATGAATTGCGTCTTCCTCAGGTTTGCAGCGATGGCAAATGCGAGCGTTACGGTGAAGGCGCCTATGAAAACAAGTACGAAAACGAGGTATGTGAAGAAGAACGCACGCGTTGCATTTGTTTTCTCAAAATAAGCTTGCTCGGTTTTGATGTATTTATCTTGTTAGACTGGATGTGTTTGTCATGACTCATTTTATCTTCGCTTCCATGGTATTCCTCTGGACTATGATCATTTCTACAATACTAAATACCCTGTGTGAACATATTTTTCACTCTGCAACAGATGAATTGCCCTGTAGACTGCAAACTCGACCACAGATGCGGCAACGGGAAGTCTGAATCAACTGAAAGTTGCTTCACGTGTCAAAAAGATTGTGGCAAGTGCAAGTCTATCTGTGGAGACGGTGTATGCGATTCTGATAAGGAGGGATGTGGGTCTTGTCCTAGAGACTGTGGAAGATGCGACGACAAGAAAGGTGATGGTGTATGCGCCTATCCGTTGGAAAGTATCTGCAGTGATGACTGTGAGACTGAAACGAAAAAGGGCAAATATAAAAAAGTGGATGGTATCCGCTACAAGACACTGCTTAACGCAAGGCCCAGCAGCCAGGGTTATGCCGACAGTAGCTGTGAGAATGGACGTAGAGATGTGCCGAAAGTAAGCAGTCAAGTCAATGAATCATGTGTTGTTTCTAGTCGTTCAGTGAAACTGTGTTTTTGGTATTTTGAGCGTGCGTTATTAGCTGGCATCTATTTATTTATTTATAACTTAAAACGGATATCATATGTAACTATTTTTGTTCTGTTTTCACACATACCTCTTCAAGGCTGGCAAGTGGCATCCAACAATGCACGCACCCGAAAAGCAGCGCGACAAAACTACTTTCAGACGGGTTGCTTGATCACGGCCGACGGCACAGCGCTTCCGACCAAAGGCACTACCTACAACTGTGGCTCAGTACCCCTCATAATAACAACAAAAGGAGATGGAAGCATAGAGGTCAAATTTGAAAGTGAGTTTCGGCACATTTAAGATGTTTACATCGCCTGTTAGTTTATGGTTCTCCACGAGTAGTTTTTAAATTGCTATAATACAACGGTTTACATGTCGCAATAGGTAGATAGTTCGGTTTGCAATGCCCAATGATATACAACACGGGCAGTGATGAGAAACCCCCCGCATTTGAGAATAAGAATAATGTTAAGAAAAGCTTTTGAGGATAGCATAAACTCGGCTCACATGCACAGAAATGTACTACCCTGGCCGTGTTCTCCTCGAGTCCATCAAGGACGTTATCAGGTCAGACGACTTTACAGAAAAGAAATGCCCCAGCAACTGTAAAAGCCATGGCAAATGTAATGTGATTACGGGCGAATGTATGTGTCGCGATCGCTGGATCGGCCCCGATTGCGGGCGGAAAATAGGCGATCTTAGTATTCCAAAACAGAAAGGTATTTAAGTATGATCCACTCACTACGTTACTATTTATCGTGGCACTGGATTGTAAATACTGATTTTAGAATAATATGTGAAGCCTAGATCAAGGTTTGGGCTACAATACAATACGCGACTATCAGTATTATACACAGCAATTGATCAGCCAGTCACTATTAAACGATACGATCAACTAACTGTACAGGTGGCTGGTACAAACCTGACAAGGGCATCACGTGGCAGTGGCAGCTGCAGGGAGAGATCGATCGGACATACGATGTGGATTTATACGACATAGACTTCGACACGTCTCCACAGGTCATTAAAGAGCTGCACAAGGATGGACGGAAGGTCATGTGCTACTTTAGTGCAGGCAGCTGGGAGATGTGGCGCAAAGATGCGGATATGTATCCAGGTACGTCAGTGTTGAATAGGGGATCTGGAGTCGTTGTATTTCGATTGCGTAGCACACATCAATTCGTGAAATTTCACAATATAGCACACGTGGTCATGGGAATGTGCATTTGTAATGTGAGTTTACGCACATATACATATATATACTACGGCGGATCAATCACGTTAATAATTGGATATATATTTTTTATCTGCCAGTTAACCTTCACATGTTATATGGGCACTGCATAGGGATTTACAAGTATGCGCCTGATTACGTTTGCTAAAGTGTATGTGTACGTAGTCATACTCATCTGCAAGTACGTACATTTGCACACAAGATTAGGTTCACAGAGAAAGCAAGCACCTTGCCTTTCTGTTTGCTTTTGTATAGAACGACTCTGGTATACATAAAAGTATGATATTAAGTATAATTCGGAGTACAATTGTGACAATTTTGGTACGAACATGTGTATGTTAATGTCGATGGTAGGTGACACATGCACAGTTTAATATGCACCATAATACTTACATGCAAACACCTCTTAAACATTTTTACATACAGCCTCGGTAAAGGGTGGGATCCTGTCCTTTGCCAGTGGAGACACATTCTCTAACGAGGCATGGCTGGATCTACGTCGGATGGACGTTATAGGCCCACTCATGCTTGAGCGTCTAGATGTCGCCCAACAAAAGGGATGCGATGCTATTGAATTCGACAACGCGGACACGGTTACGCACACGGCTAAATTGGGGGTAGGTTGGAAGCGTGTGTGTATCGTGCTGTGATCTTGAAGGACCATATTTGTCTGTTTGGATTGAATCTTCCATCACATGGAAGTGAACGGTGCGCGTGTACCACCGTATTGGTTGAACATATATGTATATAGACCTGCAGTATGTGTATTTTCCCCGTTTATTGGTATAGATTCACGTACGCTAGCGTGTCTAAGTAGTCTACTATTCTTTGTTTGAACATGTATGCTTACAATATAGTATATATATATATATATATATGTATATATATTCATATATATATGTATATGTATATGTATGTATGTATGTATGTATGTATATATGTATATATATATATATATATATATATATATATTATCTATAGCGCCGGTGAACATATAATATCGATGGCAACATAGCTTTAGTATATGTATACAAATACAATTTATAGATATATATTTATATATATATACGCACCATCCATACTGAACAAATTCTTTCACGCCACACACACATGCATATACATGCATATATCTACATGTGTAAGTTTTTTACATATAAACGACACCACATTCGCTCATATCATCTTGATACATCCAGGGCGATATCGAGCTACGTACACAGCTGCGAGTCAACAAGTGGCTAGTTGCGCAAGCACATGTTCGCGGGATGGGGGTGGCCTTGAAGAACTCAGAAATGTTTGCGACATTCCTCTCGGACACCTACGACATGGTGTGTGTGTGGGGGGCTTGTGTATTGAAGTGTTGCTTGTGTTATGGAGCTCAGCTGACGGTTTGGCCTACTTATTGCATATGTTGTGTGGGGTTGGAGTTACTTTGGGGTGTGATGTATGCTGAGGTGTAGGTATATTACCTCGTGATGGGTCACATCGATTGAGTTGGCTGATCGTGCTGTTCCTGTATGCAAATGCGAATATAATGGTATATTGCAGGCACAATGAAAAGTAGCTTTCTGTTTATGTGAATAGTCATTTGTCGGTGTATTGTTTGTGGAGCCACCTGCTTTACCTACCAAAATCTACCCACCACAGTCACTATGGCGTATCTAGCGTACTGGTTTTGTGTCTATGAGCAATACACGCCTCACAAGGCTATTGGGATTCATATGTTTGCCCTAGTTTGGACATGACGTTCGTCCTTTCTTTCACTGACACTCAGCCGATTGCTTGGTGTGTTATCGTAAACGCGCCTTGCCCTCGTTGTGTCGTAGGTAGTGAATGAAGAATGCTTCGTGATGGGCAACTGTGACAACTACTGGCCCTTTTTAAATCGGGAAAAACCGGTTCTCAATTGCGAATACACCACAGCCCTCTGCTTCTACTGCAAACGCGCTAAGGCGATGGAGTTCTCCACTATCAAGGTATGTTCGATTCACCTTCCGACATAGGTTTGCGCAGTGTAGTTGGCCTGGCATATCCTCTACCACTCCTTCGTATCCAGAGTTGATTGGCTGTCATGCCCACGCATGCCCGTATATCAATCTACACTATGTTAGGTGTACAAATCCGACTATTTGTTGTAGTTTAAAGGATACCTATACTTATACATCGTCTCTTAATTCTCGACAAGCAAATCTACACTATGTCAAGGTTACAAACCTGCCTATTTGTTGTTGTCTAAAGGATACCCATACCTATATCTATACCTATACCTATACCTACACCTACACCTACACCTACACCTACACCTACACCTATACCTCGTCCAATTACTTATCGATCATCTGACTATTTCATACAGAAAACCCCCGCGCTTGATGCGTGTATGGTAGACTGCTCGCACGACTACTCAGAGAGTGTGTGCAAGGCGACTGGATACACAGACGCAACAGGCAAGCAATGGAAACACGCCAAGTACGATGGCAAAAAGAACAAGGACGGGTGGTGTCCCATGGCTCAGAACAAACAGAAGGACGAGAGCCCCGCCAAGCGATACGGCACGTGCGATCCAGAGCGAGGCTATTAATAGATTTAGATGGCCGGGTCTATAAATACCTCGAGTCTATTGATAGACTCAGGTGGCTGGTCTATAAAGTCTATTAATAACTCAAGAAATGGAAACATGCCAAGTACGATGGTAAGAAGAACAAGGACGTGTGGTGTCCCATGGCTCAGAACATACCGAACCCGCCTAGCGATACGGCACGTGCGATCCAGAGCGAGGCTGTTAATAGAATTAGTTGGCCGGTCTATGAATGATTTGAGACTGTTAATAGATTCAGTTGGCCAGCCTATAAAGTCTATTAATAACTCAAGAAATGGAAACACGCCAAGTACGATGGTAAGAAGAACAAGGACGGATGGTGTCTCATGGCTCAGAACAAACAGAAGGACGAGTGCCCCGCTAAGCGATACGGCACGTGCGATCCAGAGCGAGGCTATTAATAGATTTAGATGGCCGGTCTATGAATACCTCGAGACTATTAATAGATGCAGGTGGCTGGTCTATAAAGTCTGTAGATAACTCGAGACGAGGTGGGACCGACGATGGGTATGGGCTGCACGCTCGTGAGGCGTGAGCAACTGAGACAGATCTGTCGCTGGTTGCTGAACGCTAGTTGACAACTGCAGGATGGGTGTGATGAGAGCGCCACGGGCAATGCATAGTAGATGCATGCAACACACATGCAGAAGGCGATTGGGTAACGGCACACCCACCAACGGATACTTTGGCAGTCGAATGGTTCCTGGGGATTGGGGCTCCCTTGTCGATATCAATGGGAAGACACCCATAACTCGTAAATAATAGAATAGAACTGTAGTAAAAATACTCGCAATAATAGAATAGAACTAGTAAAAACACTCGCAATAATAGAATAGAACTCTAGTAAAAACACTCGCAATAATAGAATAGAACTCTAGTAAAAACACTCGCAATAATAGAATAGAACTCTAGTAAAAACACTCGCAATAATAGAATAGAACTACGCTGAAACTCTAGTACATAGAAAAGTCAAGCGCAAATACAGTAGCACAATAAAACTAAACTGACAACCTGTTTGGCGGTTAAAAACATGATACATTACATTGAGGCTTGCGATACGTGATAGTGATTGTGCATGCGCGATTATGGTCGTCCGAACAAGCCACACTTAATATCGACCAATACGTCGCGTATTATATCGACCAATACGTCACATATCATACCGACTAATACGTCACATATCATACCGACCAATACGTCACATATCATACCGACTAATACGTCACATATCATACCGGCCAATACACCACATATCATA